AGAATGTGCAGGTTTCGGAAAGCATAATGCTATATGAGTGTGTTAGAATGTGCAGGTTTCGGAAAGCATAATGCTATATGAGTGTGTTAGAATGTGCAGGTTTCGGAAAGCATAATGCTATATGAGTGTGTTAGAATGTGTAGGTTTCGGAAAGCATAATTACCAATAATATAGTTTTTCTTTTAGTGTCTGTCAAACCTTGAGTCTCTTTTACTTGTTTCACAAGAAGAAAATGTAACAAAAATTAAATGATCACAAACAGGACTATGTAAGTATTTAAACTGAACATAATTGAAAACAGAACCGTTTTTACAGTTTTACAGAACTGTTATTGCAAAAACAGAACCGTTTTCTTTCTGCTGGTGGCGACGAAAACAATAGGACCTTTTTTTCTTTTCCAGCAGACAACAGTTAACAACAGCGCTATTCATATATTTACTATAAACTAGTTAATAAAAGCACCATTAATGTTTTTCCACCAGTTCACAGTTAACAACAGCATCATTTGTGTATTTCCAAAAACCACGGTTAACAAAAGCACCATTAATGTCTTTTCAGCAGGTCACAGTTATCAACAGCATCATTTGGGTATTTCCAAAAACCACAGTTAACAAAGCACCATTAATATCTTTCCACCAGTTCACCGTTATCAACAGCGCTATTCATATATTTACTACAAACCTCGGTTAATAAAAGTACCATTAATATCTTTCCACCAGGTCACAGTTATCAACAGCATCATTTGTGTATTTCCAAAAACCACAGTTAACAAAAGCACCATTAATGTCTTTCCACCAGTTCACAGTTATCAACAGCGCTATTCATATATTTACTATAAACTAGTTAATAAAAGCACCATTAATGTCTTTCCACCAGGTCACAGTTATCAACAGCGCCATTCATATATTTACTACAAACCTCGGTTGATAAAAGCACCATTAATATCTTTCCAACAGAACACTGTTGACAACAGTATCATTTGTGTATTTCCAACAAACTACAGTTAATAAAAGTACCACTAATGTCTTTCCAGCAGATCATAGTTAACAAAAGTAACTATTCCCAACAAACCACAGTTAACAACAGCATAATTTATGCCTTTTCAGCAGATCATAGTCAACAACAATGCCATCCATACTACAAACCATGGTTAATAAAAGCACCATTAATGTATTTCCTGAAGACTACAAGTAACAACAGCACCGTTTGTGTATCCTTCCAACAGACCGCAGTTAACAACAGCACAATTAATATCCTTCCAGCAGACCACAGTTAACAATAGCACAATTAATGTTCTTCCAGCAAACCACAGTTAACAACAGCACAATTAATGTCCTTCCAGCAGACCGCAGTTAACAACAGCACAATTAATGTTCTTCCAGCAAACCACAGTTAACAATAGCACAATTAATGTTCTTCCAGCAGACTACAGTTAACAATAGCACCATCCATGGCTTACTTATCTTCCTAACCACGCTGTCTTTTTCTTTAGCATGTCAATCACAGTCAACAAAACTTTTATTTACTGATATTTTGAAGGAAAATATATATACACTACACTTTCCGCTATAAAACAATTTAGAAAATTAGTGTGGTAGTATTTCATTTTTGCAGCGCCCTCTACTGCTTGCTTATTTATATAGAGTGTTCATGTAGTGTTTCGTTTGAACTCTTGAAGTAAGAAGTTGTCGGCCTCCAAAACGTTTGAGGTGCAGTTATTACTGCATAGATTTTCATAATATCTAGTTTTACCAAAAGATTTATGCGAATTTTTTTCTAGACTAACAATGTTTAGTCAATTGTGAATTATTATTCTTACCACTATAAAACATATTTTAAATTATATGTACAGTGTTTTTATGTTTGTCTTTAACTCAACATACTGGAGCTATATTTACACGGGATTTAAAGAATATGTACTATTGATATAATTCATTTATTCTTCTGAATTAATCAACAGACAAGCTGTTTAAATTATTAAAAATAAATATGCATATAAATATTGTTACTACGAAATTAGGTAAACTTAATGACAAGTGGTATATCGAATGATAAACTGGACTTCATATTTATGTTTAGATTTGAAATTAATTAAATAAGCTAAACAACAAAGCGATTGGTCTTAAATAATAACAATACGTAAGTTACAGTGACCTCTGTAAACGGTTGTTGTTTGTTGAATTTCGTTCTAGCTGTTCCTAATTTTGAAGTGATAGATTTGAGGGAAGGCAACTAGTCAATACCACCCACCGCCAACTCGTGGGCTACTATAATCAATTAGTGGAATTTGATCGTCAATCTTATAGCACATCTATGGCCCCAAAGTGTGAAGTACGTTGTTTTTTATTAAGCGGTAACCGGGCTTTAACCACGGAATCTCGGATACACAGTAGAGAAGCTAACCACTAGGTTGCGCCTGTAAACGGCTTGGCGTGCTGTTAGCTAACAACTCAGTATCATAGTTAAGTAGTAACACCTACTTCTATATACAGAGAACAATAAATCGAGTTAAAACACTTAGTTTAGTAAGAGTACAAAAAAATTTTAGTTGTTTTTTAGAGCAATGCCAACAATGAACAAAGCATGTTTCTTTGTTGTTGTTTTTTTCCAAACTAATATACTTGTATGATACTTTGGTAATGACTGTAAGATAAAACAAAAATAACTACCACAGTAACTGTTGTAACTCAAAAGTCTCTGATCTATGAGGTTGGATGTTTCGAAAGAATCTCACAGAGTGCAACATGATAAAACTTTCCCTTTCTTTCTTGAACAAATTGTAAAGATTGTTGTGATTAATTATAGGTAACTATGTAGACATATACTGTAGGTATTTGTATTAATATATTTTATTTGAATCCGACTAATTATGCTACACAAGATATTATTAGTCAAGATTCTGTTAGCTAGTGTTAAACTTCGACATTGGAATGACGCAATAATAACGTTGAATAGAAGATACTGTCGTCAGTTTTGCTACTTTTTCGATGTCACACCACTTGCGTGTTGCTAGGCGCGTGGACTTAAGAAATTTGAGCCTTCGAGTGGAAAGGTTCATCTGCCTAACACGCAACATGCGACAGCTGGCTCCACTAATCTCAGGCCTGGGATAGCGTTATATTCTGAAAAGGCTTTTTTGTTGTTGTTGCTCACTCAAACCTTAAATAATCGTACTGCTTAACATGAGTTTAGTTTTTATATCTTGGTAGTTATTACTTAGTACCTGATTAGATGATAAATCACTCAAAAGGACGGTCCTACGGCTTATGACTTCCTCATTCTCCCACTAAATCCGCCTAGTAACAAGTCTATAAGAGGCATTATTGTTAGAGTCCTATAACCCAATTAGGAGACTGGATAAAATTAAATTACAGAAAAGATTCCTTAACACACACACAAAAAAAAGAGTTAAGTTTTAAAGGTGGTAGCTTATGAAGTCTGACCAACACAGAGGCCTAGCTATAGAATCGTTCCACTGTGTTTAGTATCTTAAGAAATCCCAATAATTGTATCATGAGACTAGTATTCACCGGATTTTTTATCATATTGCTTCTAGGTTGTGTTTTTTCACTTACACATAAGGAGACAATTGTCAATCGAATATTGGGAAATTCTAATAGAAATATTTCATCTAGTCTTTGTAAAAATTGTGAGAAAAATGAATACGAACAACGTCTTGGATACGAAGAACTGAAGCAGCTGAGACTTGAAATAATCAAAAATGACGTTCTCAGAAAAATGGGAATGAGTCGACCTCCGATTGTGGATGTTGGACAGCAGTCGTCATACATGCGTTTGTTGGCCCAAAAATACATACTTGAAAGGTTAAACGCAGTTTCACCTTCGTTAGAAGAAGGAACTGACAGTATTTACGGAAACGCACGAAATATTTTTCTTTTTCCGGAAAACAGTAAGTACATGCGTCCAACGTTTATAAAACAGCTTATAAATAAACGCAGACATTTACAAGTTAAGCTTTTCATAACCAGAAATACTTTTATCGATCATACTCTCCAGTGATTACGGGGCTTCGCTCGCTCAGAGAAGTAGGAAAAATTGACAGGAGGGTTTTAATCTAAATCAGAACTAAAACTTCTCATAGTCCGCTAGTTATATAACACGATCGCTGCGAAGGGTTTCTCTTCGCTCAGGCCCGGCATGGCCAGGTGGATAAGGCGCTCGACTCACAATCTGAGGGTCGCAGGTTCGAATCCGCATCCC